GCAATCAATGTGATTGATCAGATCAGCAAGAGAAAAAACAAGAGCCATAGGGTCCTCTCAATAGATGCAGAGAAAGCATTTGACAAAATACAGCATCCATTCCTGATCAAAACTCTTCAGAGTGTAGGGATAGAGGGAACATTCCTCGACATCTTAAAAGCCATCTACGAAAAGCCCACAGCAAATATCATTCTCAATGGGGAAGCACTGGGAGCCTTTCCCCTAAGATCAGGAACAAGACAAGGATGTCCACTCTCACCACTGCTATTCAACATAGTACTGGAAGTCCTAGCCTCAGCAATCAGACAACAAAAAGACATTAAAGGCATTCAAATTGGCAAAGAAGAAGTCAAACTCTTCCTCTTCACCGATGACATGATACTCTACATAGAAAACCCAAAAGCCTCCACCCCAAGATTGCTAGAACTCATACAGCAATTTGGCAGCATGGTAGGATACACAATCAATGCCCAGAAGTCAGTGGCGTTTCTATACACTAACAATGAGACTGAAGAAAGAGAAATTAAGGAGTCAATCCCATTTACAATTGTACCCAAAAGCATAAGATACCTAGGAATAAACCTAACCAAAGAGGTAAAGGATCTATACCCTAAAAACTACAGAACACTTCTGAAAGAAATTGAGGAAGACACAAAGAGATGGAAAAATATTCCATGCTCATGGATTGGCAGAATTAATATTGTGAAAATGTCAATGTTACCCAGGGCAATTTACACATTTAATGCAATCCCTATCAAAATACCATGGACTTTCTTCAGAGAGTTGGAACAAATTATCTTAAGACTTGTGTGGAATCAGAAAAGACCCCGAATAGCCAGGGGAATATTAAAAAAGAAAACCATATCTGGGGGCATCACAATGCCAGATTTCAGGTTGTACTACAAAGCTGTGGTCATCAAGACAGTGTGGTACTGGCACAAAAACAGACTCATAGATCAATGGAACAGAAAAGAGAACCCAGAAGTGGACCCTGAACTTTATGGTCAACTAATATTCGATAAAGGAGGAAAGACGATCCACTGGAAGAAAGACAGTCTCTTCAATAAATGGTGCTGGGAAAATTGGACATCCACATGCAGAAGAATGAAACTAGACCACTCTCTTGCACCAGACACAAAGATAAACTCAAAATGGATGAAAGATCTAAATGTGAGACAAGATTCCATCAAAATCCTAGAGGAGAACACAGGCAACACCCTTTTTGAACTCGGCCACAGTAACTTCTTGCAAGATTCATCCACGAAGGCAAAAGAAACAAAAGCAAAAATGAACTATTGGGACTTCATCAAGATAAGAAGCTTTTGCACAGCAAAGGATACAGTCAACAAAACTCAAAGACAACCTACAGAATGGGAGAAGATATTTGCAAATGACCTATCAGAAAGGGCTTGTTTCCAAGATCTAGAAAGAACTTATTAAACTCAACAGCAAAGAAACAATCTAGTCATGAAATGGGCAAAGGACATGAAGAGAAATCTCACAGAGGAAGACATAGACATGGCCAACATGCACATGAGAAAATGCTCCGCATCACTTGCCATCAGGGAAATACAAATCAAAACCACAATGAGATACCACCTCACACCAGTGAGAATGGGGAAAACTAACAAGGCGGGAAACCAGAAATGTTGGAGAGGATGCGGAGAAAAGGGAACCCTCTTACACTGTTGGTGGGAATGTGACCTGGTGCAGCCACTCTGGAAAACTGTGTGGAGGTTCCTCAAAGAGTTAAAAATAGACCTGCCCTATGACCCAGCAATTGCACTGCTGGGGATTTACCGCAAAGATACAGATGCAGTGAAACGCCGGGACACCTGCACCCCGATGTTTCTAGCAGCCATGTCCACAATAGCCAAACTGTGGAAGGAGCCTCGGTGTCCATCGACAGATGATGGATACAGAAGATGTGGTCTATGTATACAATGGAATATTCCTCAGCCATTAGAAACCAAATACCCACAATTTGCTTCGACGTGGAGGGACCTGGAGGGTGTGATGCTGAGTGAAGTGAGGCAGTCGGAGAAGGACAAACATTACATGTTCTCATTCATTTGGGGAATATAAAAAATAGTGAAAGGGAATAAAGGGGAAAGGAGAAAAAAATGAGTGAAAATATCAGAGAGGGAGACAGACCATGAGAGACCCCTAACTCTGGGAAACGACGTAGGGGTGGTGGAAGGGGAGGTGGGCGGGGGGTGGGGTGACTGGGTGACGGGCACTGAGGGGGGCACTTGACGGGATGAGCCCTGGGTGTTATGCTGTATGCTGCCAAATTGAACTCCAATAAAAAATAAATTAAAAAAAAAAAAAAGAAACCCGGATCAGACCTACGGTAGCCGCTGTCACAGCCGGGGACCCCGAGGCTGGCGCTGGCCCCGGGGACAGTGGGGGCAGCCCCGGGGAGGACGAGCCCAGCGGAGCCCTGGCAGCCGGGGACCAAGTTCCCGCGGGGCTGACACCCTGCCCTCCGGTGCTGCTGAAAAGCCCCTCTGCCCCGGGGCACCAGGGGAACGTGCCTCGGAGGGGAAAGAGGAGGGGACAAGAGCGAGGAATCACATTCACGCCGCCCTCGGCACCAGGTGACTGGGCCGCGGGGTCTCTAGCCTTCCCCTGCCCTCCCGCGCTCGCGGCCGGGTTTGGGCCACCCCGCTCCAGGCCTCAGCACCCTGCTGTGTTTGTTCTTATTGTTTTTAAGCCTTTTATTTCTTTAATTCCCGAGACCCAGAGAGAGGGCAGAGACCCAGGCAGGGGGAGGAGCAGGCTCCCTGCACGGAGTCCCCGGGGTCACACCCTGCGCTGCGGGCCCTGAGCGCCCGGCGGCCCGTTGTTTTCTAATCGACTTACAAGAATTCTCCGACCAGGTAGGGCGAGTCTCCTAGTGGAGCACATTCTGCAACTGTCTTCCTCCTGTGGCTTCCTTTCTCACTCCGCGCATGGTGGCTTTTGGCGGACTTCAGTGCAAACTTACGGCGGCTTTCTGCATCCTTCTTGAGAACCAGTCCTCTGGTTTTCTTTTTCTTCTTGAAGCGTTTATTGTTCACCCTTCATAGTTACATCAACCATCCGCCCGGGACTGCCACTGCACGGTGTGAGGTAAGGCTCAGGATTTATGTTGGCCCGTGCGGACGTGCAGCCGAGCAGGTGCCATTTACTGGAAACCCCCCTCCCCCCATTGCTCGGCAGTGGCACTTTGGGCACGAATCCAGTGTCCATATATGGAAAGCTGTTTCTGGACTCTCCAGTCTGTTCCATATGCTACTTAACTATTTCCGTGCCCGTGATACATCGCCTTAATTGCCACAGCTTCATAGTAAGACAATGTCTGGTAGTGTAAATCCTCTAATTCTGCTCTTTCTTTCCCCGCTAAGATTTATTTATTTGAGAGATAGAGAGAAGGAGCATGAGCGAGAGGAGGGGCAGACGGAGATGGAGAGAGAGCACATCCCAAGCAGGCTCACTGCAGAGTCCAGAGTCCGACTCAGGGCTCAGTCCCAGGACCCTGAGGTCATGACCTGAGCCAAAATCACGAGTCGGAAGCTTAATCAACGTAGCTACCCAGGCACCCCCAGCTCTGTTCTCCTACAAGCTTGTCTTAGCTTTCCAAGCCCTTTGCGTTTCGTTCCCCTAAAACATCTTAGAGTCAACTTGTTCATTATCACTTTTTTTTTTTTTTAAGTCTCCTGGGATTTTTGACTCAGGGATTACCCTGAATCTATATATATCAAACTGGGGAGAATTGACTTCTTTACAATCTTGAATCTTCTAAAATATGAACATGGCCTCTCTCTCCACTTATTTAGATCTCATATAACGTCCCTCAATAATATTTTATAGTTTACTTCCTTATCTATCTTTCATTTTCTCCCCCTGAGCGTTAGAATGTTCCTACGCGGTGGTAAATGGTTATTTCAGGTTTTGAACATTTATCGACAACTGGTTTGCTTTTAATTTCATGGATGCTATGTTGCGCGGCTCAGTGCTCCCCTGAGTGACGTTCCATGAAACGCCATCTCGCTTGTTAAAGCGGCCTGGTCAGTTTGTTCGGAAGAAGTTGGGTTAACCAAGTAATCAAGTTTCTTTATTGCACGACCGCCAAAGCCCTTAATGTGATAATCTAAGAGCCTCCAAACTCATCTGGCTACACTTACTCCATATTCAACAAATACCGTCAAGATGCAGTGCGGGAAACAGGAGTCGTCCAGGGCTTCTGAGGAGTCCGCACAGGAAGGTAGGCGCTTGCAAAACTCCCGGGAGGCTGCAAGAGCAGGTACTTGGCTAAGCTTCTAGGAACGACTCTCGGATGCTCACGGAGGGAGCCCCCCAAGGGAGGCAGTACCGAAGAGGTCACCCCGGGAGCCCCTCAGCCCACAAGCACTACTTTGTGCTTATGCCGCAGCTGCAACTGCCTCTCAGAACCTAGGAGGTGGAACACAGACGCCAAAGCTCCTCATGTGTCACCAAAAAAAAAAAAAAAAAAAAAAAAACCAGAAAAAAAAAAGGAGGAATAGTTGAAATGATTCCCAGGCGTTTACCCTCTAGACCCCTCAGAGGTCCTGAAAGGGGAAACCAGGTTCGCATCCAGGACCACAGGCGCGGCCAGGGCCTCCCCTCCGCAGGGCAGGACGAGGCAGGGAGGAGACAGTGCGGACTCCCCGAGCGCCTGGGCTCTGGGCCGCACTTTCCCGGGTGGAAGGTCCAGCTGTGAGCCTCGAGTGTCGCGGGGAGTGAGCCTGTGTAACTGCTGCTCTCGCCGCGACGGACCTGCTACGATGTCGTGCAACACCGCGTGCTCACAGAAGTCATGCAAGACTGCGTGCTCACGGATGTCATGCAACACCGCATGGTCACTGAAGCTGTGCAACACTGTGTGCTCAAGGATGTCATGCACCACTGCATGGTCAACAAGTCGGTGCAACCGCATTCACCAAAGTCGTGCAACACCACGTGCTCACCGAAGTCATGCAACACTGTGTGCTCAAGGATGTCATGCAACACTGCGTGGTCACTGAAGTCGTGCAACACCCCACACTCATGGATGTCGTGCAACACCGCATGGTCACCGAAGTCGTGCAACACCACGTGCTCACGGAGGTCCTCCAACACCGGATGCTCGCCATCCCTCCCGCACTGCAGGGAAGTGCCAGGGGTGTGCCCGGCAGCTGCCACTTCCCCACCACATTGTCACGTTACTCTTTTTTTTTTTTTTAAGATTATTTTTATTCATGAGAGACACACAGAGAGAGGCAGAGACACAGGCAGAGGAAGAAGCAGGTTCCATGCCGGGAGCCCGACGCGGGACTCGATCCCGGGACTCCAGGATCACGCCCCGAGCCAAAGGCAGGCGCTTTAACCGCTGAGCCACCCAGGCATCCCGTCACCTTACTCTGTCACTCTTACTCCCCCGGTGTTCCTTGCTCCCCATTTACGTCTTGCCACCACTGTGCGCGCATTCCTCAGTGTCCCGCTCCGGACCGGGGCAGACGGAAGCCCGCCGCCCGCGGGGAGCTGGCCATCCCGGGTTCGACGACCGTCGCATCCGTGGGCTTCACAATTTGACCAAGTACAGAAATAAACCAGAAGCGTCCATTTCATCTCCGGCTTCACTCTGGCAACCGAAAGACCCGTGAGAGGGTTCACAGGTGAGACGAGAGTATGTTCTTGAATAAGAAATTAGCAGGCTCTACGGTATTTTCTGATAGTTGGCTTTACTGCTGTGGACGACTCGAGCTAGCCTCAGAGCACGGAAGGAAATGGGCTACTACTATTACAAGCTAAAACGGATTCTCTGTTCCCCGCACTGTCACTGAATTGAAATAAGAACAAAAACAATAACAAAAACTTGCCACCGACCGATCAATTGGAAACAGGCCGTTTAGGAGCAGGCGTGGGAGGCGACGGCTCGCGGAGCGCTGGGCCGCCACACGCGGGGCCTGACCCGCCGGGGCTCCCCGGCTCCCCGAGGACAGCAGCGCTGCGACTTGGAGGCGTCACTGCAGCTTCTTCCGTGAGCCGCTCCGGCCGTAATGCATCGTCTTGAGTTCCACCCACGACTGACACAGTAACAGTCCTGGGATCAGAACCCACACGCTGTTGAAAAATACCAGGTAGACCCCAAAGTAGAGCCAGTCGTCGGTGTTGAGGTTGGGGCTTCCCACGAGCCAGTCTGGGACAAAGGTCATCCAGCCGCCGTACAACTCACACACACACAGCGTCACCTGTATGAAGTGCCTGTCGGAGAAGGAAACGAGGCATGGAGCTGCCAGCTCGGCGCCACGTGGCGCCCTGAATCCTGACATCTTTTTTTTTTCTTTTTAAGATGTTATGTATTTATTCATGGGAGACCCAGGGAGAGAGGCAGAGACACAGGCCGAGGGAGGAGCAGGCTCCTTGTGAGGAGCCCGATGCGGGACTCGATCCTGGGACCCCGAGGCCCAGGGGGTGGGACGGCCTGAGCGGGAGGCAGATGCTCCACCGCTGGGCCCCCCGGGCGTCCCCTACTCTACTTTTCATCTAACAAATAAATGTGGTCCCAATAGGGGGTCCTTGGGTGGCTCAGCGGTTTGGCGCCTGCCTTTGGCCCACGGCATGATCCTGGAGTCCTGGGATCGAGTCCCATGTCGGGCTCCCGGCATGGAGCCTGCTTCTCCCTCCTCCCACCTCCTCTCACATGAATAAATAAATTTAAAAAAAAATTAAAAAAATAATTTAAAAAAATGTGGTCCCAGTCTACTCCAAGTGCCACGGGGCGCTGGGGCGGCGCAGGCCTGTCCTGTCTCCCGCGGGCCAGGGGAAGGGCACTTACCGGTAATACTTCTCTGTGACTATGGCATAAACGAGGACCAAGGCCAGGGACCCATCCAGGACAACAGTCAGAACTTCCAAGGATACGATGGTCGGGTCGAAATAGAGCCATCTCGCGTCGGCTTTGCCATATTCTTTCCCTAAAAGTGAAGTGCATTTTGTTACTCATCTGGCAACCATTTGTTTGACACTCAGTGGAAATGACTTTTCTTCCCCCCTAAGGAGGACAGAAAAAGAACCACTGTCGTCCCCTGCGGTCTTCCCAGCGCCCTGGTGGGAGGCAGGAGCAGGACATATCTGCCGCGTGACACCAGGGATAATAACGGCATCATGTGACGTGTAAAGGGACTGCGTTCCCGAAGCGCGTTCACGTGTGCACCCTCTTCGCCCCCGCCCTTTTCGTTATAAGCAGCAGAATTCTCATTCATTCATTCACTCATTCATTCATTCATCAGAGATGCACACAGAGAGAGGCAGAGACACAGGTAGAGGGAGAAGCAGGCTCCCCGCAGGGACCCCGCTGTGGGACTCGATCCCAGGACCCTGGGGTCACGGCCTGAGCCCCCCAGGCGCCCCAAGCAGCAGAATTCTAAGTCAATTCACCACAACCAGATTTTGCAAAGACGATCCTTAATAATCATGTAGGTAAACGCGTCAACAGTTCCTTGCTTCGAAGCTGCTACATCCAGTCTGCAGGTGTCATGTAGATGTGGGAACATTTTTATTATATTTTAATATTTTTATTAAATTTTAATTTTTTGTGGGATCCCTGGGTGGTGCAGCGGTTTGGCGCCTGCCTTTGGCCCAGGGCGCGATCCTGGAGACCCGGGATCGAATCCCACGTCGGGCTCCCGGTGCATGGAGCCTGCTTCTCCCTCTGCCTGTGTCTCTGCCTCTCTCTCTCTCTGTGTGACTATCATAAATAAATAAATAAATAAATAAATAAATTAAAAAAAAATTTTTATTTTTTGTCTTTTAAAAAGCATTTATGAACACCAGCAGAGCAACTGAGTGCTGGGGGCGGTGGGGCGGTGTGGGGGTACTGAGGTGGCCTGGGCTGCGGGAGGGGCCCAGACGGGCACGGCGGGGGGCGGGGGGATCATCACCCAAGCCCCCCTGGCTCAGCAGGGGGTGGGCACGCCCTACGAAAGCCTTCCAGGCTCCACTATCAGGATGGGCTCTTCTAGAAAGAACGGAGTGAGGCCGCGGACACGGGCTCTCAGGAAAGGCCACCCAGGTGTCCCCAAACCTATTTTTTAATACACACCTTTACTGAGATACAATTCACACGACATATAATTCCCCCATTTAAAGTGTACGATTCAATAGGTTTTAGGATATTCACAGACTTGAATCATTGCAACGAAATGTTATTTTATTATTATTATTTTTATTTTTTTGCAATGAAATTTTAGAACATTTCATTAACTCCTCCAAAGACACCCGTACCCATAACCCATCCCTCATATTCCATCCCCCTCCTCCGGCACCCCCTCTAGTCCCAGGCAACCACCAGTCTATAATCTGTCTCTAGAGAGTCACCTAGTCTGGACCTTTCATACAAACGGAATCACATGATTGGTGCTACAGGTGCTCATTTAATCGACAGTCACACGTGCCCATTAATCTCCTGGGACATCCCAAATGCAAACACTTGATGGTACTTACACAAGGAAGCAATCAAGCCTTCGGAATCCGCAACGCTTCCTGCAAACGACAAGTAGACAAAAGGGCCTTCCTGGAGAGAAGAAAATGAAGAGAGGCTCTGGTTTGGGGTCACAGCCCCAGGATGGCCCCATCCCCAGGAGCCCGCATCCCGGTCGGCGGCCTCTGCACCTACGCGACCCCGTGGGGCGCGATCCCGGGGCCGGACTCCCGACCCTGCCAACAGGTATGTCCAAAGGGAATGTTTATCTAATAAATGCTGTTTTTCAATGACTGGCATTATAAAATCGGAGGTGTGTTCTAGCAGGGGGTGGGGGATAAATGGAAAACCTTGCACAAGGTTATTATGTTAAAAAGGCTACATTCTGGATTATTCCAGAGATTTTACACCTTTGAGAAGAACCTCACAGCAGTTCATTTCGTCTCACCTTGAAAAAAAGCCAGGGTCTCTCTTAACAAAAGTGGCATTCACCTATCTTATGTCAGAGTTGAACTAGTTCTTTTTCCTGCAGGAGGGCAAGTTTAGGAAAATTAAAATCCTTACGGGCTACATTTTAAATTTCAGGTAACGAAATAGCTGCAATTACACTTAGCTTTTCCCATAACTGAAGTATTCCTTTGCTTAAATTTCAAAACTAATTAGTTAGCATCCACCAGGGTATCTAATTGTCACGTTCCTCCTCTGAACAAGTTTTGTTGCTGGTCAATACAACATTCCCCCCCCCCTTTTTAAATGCAATTGCTTATATGGCATTAAAATGATGGCCCTGCCCCATCCCTGCTCACTTACACTCCTACTTCCCAGAGTTGACCACTTACAGTCACTGCTGTATTTAGTTCTGGGGATTATCGCCCTAACTCACAATATACTTACGCTGCTATTTCTTTAGATATTCTCAACTAACTGCCAATCCTGAAAAATTATGATTTAACTTATGTTTCCCCTCTGTTTCTCCACTGTTTAGTTTTTTTGATAGTGTAGGGGAGGGAAAACTTGCTTCTGCCCTCTTGGATTCTGTAGCTGGCCTAAGAATTAACTAACACGACCGACTAACGGGCAAAGCACACAAATTTTATTTCCTATTTTTACAGGTACACGGGACTCCTTAAAAGGAAAACAAACCAAAGGAGCTGTTAGGCCCAAATGCTTATACACTTTTTTTTTTTTACACAAAGAACAGTCATAAATCATGGACATGTCACAAGACAAAGGCGCGTGGACTAGGGGACAGTAAATTGTGGGAAAGTGATTAAGAAATATATGAGGGAAACTAGTGGAAGATACGTGTTATTTTAGTAGGTTTGTTTGTATAGGACCATTTTAGCACTGACTCCCAGTCTCTGGTGATAAGAATGTTCTTCTCTTCCTGGTATAGGGAGGGTAACTTTCTCATGGGAAACTTAAGGACTTGATTTTAGGTACAAAGGAGGAGTCAGAGAGGCCTTCCCACATCTGCTATTTTCCAACTGCCTTCAGCTCAAAACTATCAATATGCCAAAATGGCACAGAATGGCATGCTCTGAACCCTTTTCTTTCTTTCTTTCTTTCTTTCTTTCTTTTTTTTTTTTTAAAGATTTACTTATTGGAGAGAGTGAGCACGTGCATGGGGGGGGGCTAGAGGAAAAGAGGGAGAGGGAGGAGAGGGAGGGGATCTCAAGCAGACTCCACACTGACTGTGGATCCTCATGTGGGGCTTGATCGCACAACCTGGAGATGGTGACCTGAGCTGAAACCAAGAGTTGGTTGCTTCATCGACTGAGCCATCCAAGCACCCCTGAACCTTCTCAAATAGCTCTTTAATTCTTCCATTAGTTATCCAACTTTGTAACTTAAGTAGCAAACTTAAAATCTCGGTTTCTTCGTTCATCAGTGTTGCCCAGCATCAGGACTTCCCAACACATGAGATAAGGATGCTTAGCCCCCACCACGCTCTCTTCCTCTCCACCCCATTTCCAACGCTCATCTTCTGTTTACCTTGCTTATATATTCCTGAGATTGATTACGGATCCATTCCTGTTCTGTAAACATATTTGTCTTCCTGTTTTACGTGGATTCTAAAGGCCGAAAATCAACAGCATTTACAATATGGTGATTAGGTAAATGTCATTCTCTGCAAAGGACCACAACTCCTATCTCTATAGATCCAGTATTTTGACTCCTGTGCCTTTTAAGAAGAATGTGGCAGCTGGATTATCCTTCATTACCCTCATAAATTTCTCAAAATCAGGCTATATTTTAGTTTGCTGCATTTTGGGGCCATGACTTTCTATAAAATATTTTTATGTTACAGTCTGTAATTGCCTTTTTTTTTTCTTATTGAGAGAAGAAATCTGACTTTCTTCCTATCTCATTAATATCTTCCAGCTGATCTCTGCTAAACGGAAGCCTTAAAGTTGGTTTGTTTTGTCTTTTCTTGACACTGTGTAAGTTACTTACTTGGTAAATGTGGCTTACCTCAGAGTATTTGTAAAAATTATATTCTTTAAGGGAGATTTTTAAAAATTACATAGGAGTTAAACAGCAATTTTTTTTTTTAAACAGCAATGTTTTAAAACAAGTCCTCCCCATCTACTATGTAACACTTTATTTTCACCAATTTCTTATTTTTAGCAGAGACATAGCAAGAAATCCACACCACTTCCTTGGCTTGGCCTGGCGACTTTCTAGACAAAACACACCCACGGGCCTGGCCGGCAGGAGCAATGAGGTTGGGCTGAATTTGATCCTCTGTGGATCTCAGTCCATCTAGCTGTAAGATGAAGGACCTCCTAAAATTAGACTGTGGATCTCATCCTAAAACTACACATGACTTCCACTAGCAATCTCTTCACCTGGAGCTCGGGAGCATTCCCCAGCAATCAGGTCCAGGACCTTTCCTCAGAAGCAACTCTGCGGGTAAGAGCAAGATGGGGATGCAGGGACCGATGAGCATATAACAAATTTTCTTCCTTTTATATCTACCCGTTGAAGTTGTACCCTCCTTCCTCCAAGAAATCTTCCCAACCTCCTGGTGACAATTCCTCACTCTACCGTGTCACTAAATTTATGCTTCTGTCATCAACTGTCTGCTGCTGAAGCTGAATCTCCAGCTTCCCGTTAGATCACACATCTCTGGGGTCTGGCTCGCTGTCTTATCTCTCACAATCTTCAAGAACCCAGGATGATATTTTGTGTTCAGTGTCTACTAACCTTGAATTAATGACAAGGTCACATAATGAACTACTTAAAAGATACCCCGAGGGGCTTTTGTATACTTCTTACTACACCCATGTCTCAGATGGCGCGGCGGTATACAGTTGACTCTTGAACAACACAGGGGTTAGAGGCACCAGCCCCTGTGTAGTCAAAAATCCACATGTAATTTTTGACTTTCCGAAAATTTAACTACCAATAGCCTACTACTGACTGGAAGCCTTACTGATAACCTAGACAGTCAATTTACATACTCTGTTATATGTATTATATAGTGTATCCTTCCAATAAAGTGAGCTAGAGAAAATTATTAAGAAAATCATAAAATACAGACTATTGTACTATATTTATTAAAAAAAAAAATCCAGGGCAGCCCCGGTGGTGCAGTGGTTTAGCGCCGCCTGCAGCCCAGGGCAAGATCCTGGAGACCTAGGATCGAGTCCCACGTCGGGCTCTCTGCAGGGAGCCTGCTTCTCCCTCTGTCTGTGTCTCTGCCTCTCTCTCTCTGCATCTCTATGAATAAATAAATAAAATCTTTTAAAAAAAATCCATGTAGAAGTGGACCGGTGCAGTATATAACCCATGACGCTCAAGGGTCAACTGTAATATATGTAAAGTCTAATAAGTATATTCGTGCCTCCACATGCTGATCAGATGCCGCCTCCTCCAGGAAGCAAGGAAAGTTTCCCTGACTCTCTTGATGGGAAGTAGGTGCCCTCCTACGTAGGACCTTGCTTACTTGCCTCCCCCTCAAAACTGTCAGTTCCTTTAGGGCAGAGTCTTTGTCTTTTATCTCTGTATCCCGAATGCCTGATAGATAGCACACGGTAATAAAGGTTTACTAAAAGGATTAGAAATAAAAAAGGGGGAGGGTAGTGGGGGACAAAAGAGTTCAACAACCACCAACACCCAAACAACCCACTTAGAGAACGGGCAAAAGAAATGAAGAGAGATTTCAGTAAGGAGGCTCTAAAGACAGCAGACAGGGATCCCTGGGTGGCGCAGCGGTTTGGCGCCTGCCTTTGGCTCAGGGCGTGATCCTGGAGACCCGGGATCGAATCCCACATCAGGCTCCGTGCATGGAGCCTGCTTCTCCCTCTGCCTGTGTCTCTGCCTCTCTCTCTCTCTGTGTGTGACTATCATAAAAAAAAAAATAAAGACAGCAGACAAACACGCGGAAAGATGTTCCACATCAGTAGCAGTCAGGGAAATGCCGATTACAACCAAAATGGGTTAGAATCACACACCTATCAGAATGGGTAAAATAATAATAATAAAAAAATAGTGACCACAACACATGCCGATAAGAACGTGGATCACCCACACGTTTCGTGAGATGAAGATGGTACCATTCTGGAAAGCTATGGGGACCCAACCACTGTGCTCTTGGGCACTTGTCCCAGAAAAATGAAGACTTCTGTCCACACAAACACAAGCACACAGACGTCCACAGCAGCTCTGCCCGTAACAGCTTAACGCCGGATGTCCTTCAGCAGGTGAACGCTGAAACGAACCACAGTCCCTTCACACTGGACCGTTCCCGAGCAATCAGGGGGAACCGACACCTGATACACTCAACAACTTGGGTGGATCTCCAGGGAATCTGGGGAGCGAAGAAAGCCAACCCCAAAAGATGACATGCTCACTGATTCCATTTATCTGACACATTTTGAAATGATGAATTTTAGAAATGGAGGGCACATTAGCGGTCACCAGGGGTTAGAGGCTGGAGGGGACAGGAGTGGGGGGAGCAAGTGCCAGCAGATACAAAAGGAAAACTCCAGGGATCCTTGTGGGGTTGGGACTGGCTGGTATCCTGTCGTGGTGGGTACTTGAACCTACCCGGTTGCTAAAGTGGTACAGAAATTAATACACACACC